CCGGGAGGCGGCGGAGGCGGCGGCGGCGGCCCCGGGGCCGGGGCTCCCTGTTCCGAAGTGAAGTTGAGACCCCAGCCGGGAAAGACGGGTACGGAGACGTTGGGCGCCAGCGAGAAAGTTGAGGGGCCGAAGGGATCCTCCATCCTTAGCCTGGGGGGAGCGGAGGTAGGAAGCGAGGGAAACCCAGGTGGAGGCGAGGCTGCGAGGGGCGCTCAAAGTTTGTTGAAAACGCACACGCAACAGAGAGGGAAATGGATTCGGGTAGACTCGCGCTTAGTTGTTTTTATAGGTTGTCCTCGTCATTTGTCACTCAAATGTGGGTTGTACACTCGAGGAACACACATGATTCCTATTCTCCACCTTCTCCGTGGCTCTCCTCCCAGTCCCGGTGGATGCCCTTCCAGTCTCTGCCGCGGCTCCCACAGCGCGCTCGCAGTAGCGGCGGGGACCACTGAGTTCTGGGTGCCTCTCCCGTTCGCTATTCAGTTTACAGGAAGAGCACAAAACAGGGCAGAAGGTCGCTTTGCCCGGCCTTTGCAAAAGCGCATGCTAACCGGGACTGACACACGAGAGAGGAGGGTCCTGACCGAGACTGTACCTCTCAAAAACGGTTACGGATTACGGTTACGGATTGCTAGTAGGAAAAAAAAAAAAACAAACAAAAAAAAAAAAACCTAGTTTTGATTAAAAAAAAAAAAATCAGAAATGGCATGGATCTACATGCACTAGCATGAGACAAACAGGAACACAAGAAACCCAACAGCGTTTTGGGCAAAGAGGAGCCCAAGAGATGAATCTTTGATAAACATGTATCTTCCTCTGGCCATCAGTGAGAGTATTTACTTGGAGAGAACTAAAGTAATGATGTTGCTTGGCAATTAGGAGGAGCAGTGATTTGCAGATGTTTCAAATACTCCTCATTACTTGAAGCCACGGTTCACAGCTGCTCTCTCGGTGATGTAAAATTTGCTGCATTAGTCTGAAGGGGACAGTCATAGGTTTTATGCATATGGTAGTGCATTTATTGATTTTCCCCTAATATTTCCATCCAGTGGAGGATGTGTCATCATGGCTTTTCATTCTCTTGATTCTGTTTTCCAAGCAGATGGAGGTTGCTGGGAGGGAGTACGCCCCCAATAAGCCTAGAGAAAAGGTGACTAAGAGAACTATAAGGCGGCCAATTTTCAAAAAAGAAATTCAAGTCACAGGAAATGGTTTAGATTAAATGCTGTCTTTTATTTTAGTCCTGTCTCCTCCTCACAAACAAATTTTACTTTTCCTGTTGGAAACATCAATTTGTCTTTTATGTACCCTCTTATATTATTTTTTAAAAATTTTTCTTAATGCTTTATTTTTAATCAGAGAGAGAGAGAGAGAGAGAGAGAGAGAGAGCGAGCAGAGGGAGCAGTGAAAAGGGGAGACACAGAATCCGAAGGAGGCTCCATGCTCCAAGCTGTCAGCACAGAGCCCAACGCAGGGCTTGAATTCTCAAACTGTGAGATCAAGACTTGAGCAGAAGTCAGACGCTTAACTGAGCCACCCTCTTACATTATTACAGTGTAAGTAGATTTCCTGTGTTTCTGGCCTGGGCATCTGCTGGGGTTCATATTCCCAGACTGAGGACACATTTGGCACTTTAAGATGCTCAGGATAGGAGGGGTTGGTAGATGCAGATGACAGTGCTGTTAGTTGCCTGGAGGAATCCTAATTCCTAAACTGTTGTCCTTTGGCCAGAGACCTTTGTCATTTTTATTATCCTATCTCCAGTGGCTAGCACTGGGCCTGATACAGGTTAGGTATCAGTAAATATGTTTTGAATTAATGAACTAGACGATATATGACACATTTCAGATAATTTTGAGCAAATGTTCCTGCTTTGACTATAAATCCATCAACCTAAGAAAAAACTACCTTTCATACCTATGCCAGTATCATCCAGAGGAGCCCAAGGAAGCTCTGGAAGAGGTGTAGGGATAGCCATTCTTGATGGAACACTTAAGAGAGAGGAAGAGCAATAGTCTTGGGAAATCAGACTCTTGGTTTAATTTTCACATTCTCCCCTCAGAGGATTTTGCTGGGGCCTTTTTCTTTGTAACATACACCATCCCAGCTTATGATCCACTTCTTCCAAGGTGCTGTCTGTGAGCAATACCCATAATTCAGTGATTCCTCTAAGCAATATCAGTTTAATATTTCTCAAGGTAATTCTATAATTTGTCTCAAATTTGTTGAAATGCTCTCATATAGCAAAATAAGACTCTACCAGTGACATTACATTTCACAGAACTTTACTAAGACCTGATAAATCATTGATTAAAGAAAATGATTCTCAAAATGACACATGCACATAGTTTGGAAAGTCTAACAGAACTAGAGGGCCAACAACAATATCGTTTCCTATACACACATCCTCAACTCCTCCTTCTAGAGGGAACCAATTTAGAATCTATTTGCTGTTTCTTCTGGCATTTACTTAATTCCAGAATTCTAAATCACAAATGTGTAATGCTATTTATTGACTCAGTGATTTCAGACACGATTACCTTCTCATAAGATACAATAATCTTGTAATTTCAGGTTAGATCTATGTTTAGTGTTTACATTATTATGAAATGAAAATATTCTCAGCTGAATGTTATAGTATATTTTGAATATCATTTTTTTGTTTTCTTGAAGTTAATAACTGCCTTAATTTTCCTTGTTATACAGCTAATTCTTCCTTTAAATGGTCCCTCAGTTCGATTTCCATAAGTTTGGTTTGTAACATAATGTAGCAATTCCAATTTTTTTTTTTTTTTGAAACCTTCTTATCAGAGACTCCCTTCTCTCTCCTATGTGGGCTGGTTTATTTCCAGGCCTGCTACACACTTATCATCCTGAAATATGTTTGTTGTCAACACTGAAACTCTCTGCCCTTCTCTTGGGTTGGAATTCCTGCCTCTTGGGTTTCTGGTCTTTTTTCTTGGTTTCTTCCTTTTTGGTAGAAAACATCACCTGATATGTTGTAAGGTTAAAAAGACTGTGCAGAGGCTGAGGACGTAGCTGCGAGAGTCTCACTGTGCCTATTATACCTGAGTCACGTAGATTCAATCACGTTTGCCCTCCAGGACACCTGTTACCCAGGCATCTCCCTTTGCCATCATCCTAGAGACTCCTTTCATTATCTCATGCTGTTTTTCCTGCTTTCTAATTTCATGGGTATTTTTTGTTCTTTATTTCCCTCCTTGGGTGGAAAGCATCTTCAGTGGCTTCTTGAGAAAGGGTATATTTGGGGGATCTTGTATGTCTGAAAATTTCTTTATTTTACCATCATGCTTAAGCGAAGTCTTGGCTGGGGTTAGAATTCAATATTGGAAACATTTTCCTTCTGAATTTTGATGGCATTGTTCCATTACCTTCTGGATTTTAAGTGTGTTGAGAAGCTTAAAGCCATTCTGGATCCTCATTGGTGTAAACATGATCATTGTTTTTTCCATTTTTGAAGTTTGATTCTTTTCTTCTCTCTGAAAAATTTCACAAAGATGTGTTTATTTGATCCACTGCTGGGCACAATCAAGGGTCATGGGTTGTATTTAATTGCATTATGCCTCTAGTGGCCTTTAATCTAGAACGGTTTCCCAGCCTTTCTTTTTCCTTTCATGATTCTGACAGGTCTGAAGGGTCCACGATACATGTTTAGTAGAATTTCTCTAACGTTGCTTTTTGTTTCCACATAATTAAATCTGAGTCAGAGTTTTTGGGCTGAAATACTACCTAGGTAATAATGTGTCCATAGTATATCATTTCAGGGGCATATATAGTGCTAGTTTGTCTCAATATCAGTGATGTTAAACTTGACATGTTTTTAAAACCTAAGGTTCTAGGTTCTGTGCTTGTCCTCCAGAGGTAGCCACTCTGCATTTGTCCACCTGTCCCACTGAGGGGCTCCATTAGGTCTCTAGCCCTGCCCCCAATCTTTCTCATGAGTGCTGCTTGAGGTCTATGAAAAAAAGTTCGTGAGTGGAGGTGGTTTCCCTTGTGTGGGGGCTCCCAGAATTTGTGTTGTTATTTTCACACACATTGGGCTTTAAGAATTTGTCAAAGTATCCGTTGTTTTGTTATCCACTCTTTGGGCTACTGGTTTCCACCTCCACCTCCCCTGATGTTCTGCCAAAGGTGGACCAGTTTGAGTGTATCACCTTCTCAGAGGGACTTGCCACCCTTTTGAATTCAGTTTACCAGTTGCCTTGCAACCTTAGTCACTGATAGGCTCAAAAAAAGTTTAGATGATCTAGCCTTTTTTTCTTGATTTTTGTTAATGTGGGAGGAATATTCCTTGCAACTTTCCCTTTCCTATGGGAAAGCAAGACTCTCAAAATATTATTGAAGGATGGCAATCCTTTACTATAAATATTACAAAATTGATACTTATTTTGTTGTTTAACTTCTTGAACAGTTTATTTTTATTTCCTCTTAATAATTAAAAGCCTAAGGCTAAAAATATTCTTCTGAATATAGTTCTGATTGTGTCATATGTTCTACGTTTTCTTATTTTCATTTTAAAAGTAGCATAGGGGCACCTGGGTGGCTCAGTCGCTTAAGCATCTGACTTTGGCTCAGGTCATGATCTCAAGGTTCTGAGTTTGAGCCCTGGTTTGGACTCTCTGCTGTCAGCACAGAGCCTGGAGCCTGCTTCAGATTCTGTGTCTCCCTTCTTCTCTTCCCCTTCCCCACTTGTGCTTTGTCTCTCTGCCTCTCTCAAAAATAAATAAACATTAAAAAGTATTATAAAAATAGCATAGAAGTATAATTTTTTGACCTAAGAATTTTTTAGGATGCTGCCTTATAACTTTATTTTTTTTAATGTTTATTGAGTTTTTTGTTTTGTTTTGTTTTGAGAGAGAGACAAACCACAAGTGGGGGACAGGCAGAGACAGAGAAGGAGATGCAGAATCTGAAACAGGCTCCAGGATCTGAGCTGTCAGCACAGAGCCAGATGCAGCGCTCGAACCCACGAACTGTGAGATCATGACCTGAGCCGAAGTTGAACGCACAATGTGACTGAGCCACCCAGGCGCCCCTAAAAAAGAAACTCTTACTGAGATTAAAATCAGGATTGTATGAAATTTCTACATTAGTTCTGGAGCAGTGACATTTTAAGATC